GTAAGAAGAGAATTCTTCGTTCCAATCATCTCCAGAGGTGACGACATTGGCTTCGTCCTTCGGTTTCTTTCAGGTCTCATGATGACCGAATCGCTTGTAGATTCCCGCTCGGCATTTCCAACCGAAGTGGCCTATTTTTCCGCAACTATTGCAGCGAGCCTAGTGAGGTTTTGGCAACTTTGATCATCACTCAAATGTCGGTACGAGCCGCATCGACTGCACTCGCTTTCCGTTCTTCTTGGCCCCGACTGGAATGACCGTCCTTGGGCTTTACCAACCGGTGGAAACTAACGATTTGAAATTGGCTCACTACTTGACCAAGCAAATCGATTAACGTAAACCATTCTAGCATAGAGGTAACTCTAAGACTAGTAGCAACAATCAATACGAAACTAACGATTTTAAGTTGGCTCACCACTTTAGTAGCCTATTGGTCTCAAGCAAACGATTAACGTACCCTATTCTAGTTGAAATTCTATTACTACACTATGTTTGTTTTGATTCGCTATGAAAGTTTGACAGATAACATCAGAGGTGTGTGGATTCATGCAGAACATGCAGGGGTGAGTGAAATAGCTTGGGACTGCTTGGGACCGTTGTTCTGGTACTGAGTGAGCCAAAAATAATAATGATTTTCTTCGGGACTCAGTGGTCTTAGAGTTACCTCTATGCTAGTAGGTCCCAAAGAAACGTGCTCAAATTTTTGGCTCAGCTCTGGTACTATCTTCGGTTCCAAACTAATCGATGCACCCCTCAATACAAAGGAACATCCACAAACCCCTCATTTTATCTGTCAAACTTTCATAGCGAATCAAAACAAACATAGTGTAGTACTAGAATTTCGACTAGAATGAGATACGCTAATAGATGTACTTGGGACCAATAGGCTAGTCAAGTAGTGAGCCAATTTAAAATCGTTAGTTTCCACCGGTTGATTCTGTGGGACACCAGCGGACCGGTTATAGAACCGGACAACCCAACAGGTAGCGCAGCACGGAGAACACAACCGACCGAAGTTCCAATGGCGTTTCGCGACAGTGAAAATAACACGCAACACGGACTATTAGCAACAATCAATACGAAACTAACGATTTTAAATTGGCTCACTACTTGACTAGCCTATTGGTCCCAAGCAAACGATTAACGTACCCTATTCTAGTCGAAATTCTAGTACTACGCAATGTTTGTTTTGATTCGCTATGAAAGTTTGACAGATAAAATGAGGGTTTATTGGTTTTTCCTATGTTTCGGGGGGTGAATCGATTAGCTTGGGACCGAAGAGAGTACCAGAGCTGAGCCAAAAAGTTGAGCACGTTATTTCGGGACCTTCCAGTCTTAGAGTTACCTCTATGCTATTAGTTTCACACGTCTTTATTGTTCGGTTATTGACAGAGAATGATAAAGTGATCGTTACCTTGACGTTAGCAGCATTGGGGTGCAGTGACGGCGTTGATGGAAACATCGCCCCCACCTTTTATATCTAACACTCCTCCTCGATGTTCTCTCTTCAGGCAGCCGGTGTGGCCGGATCATCGGTAGCGACCAAGCCCATCACCAGCGCAAAACGTTTCTGTTTAACAGGACCCAACGGCTTCGTTAGGACATCTGCATCCATCTCCTCTGTGCCACAGTGACGAAGCACCACTACTCCCTTGTCAGCTAGATCTTTGGTGTAGTGCATCCTAGTATCTATGTGCTTCGAGCGTCTGGACTTGCGATCTGTTTCCACAAAATCAATGCAGCTGCGGTTGTCCTCCAGTACTACAGTGGGTTCACGTTGAGGTTCCCCAATCTCTTTAAGAAGCTGCCGGAGCCCAACCAACTCTCGACATGCTTCCGACAGTGCCATATACTCGGCCTCCATGCTAGACAAAGACACGCTTGTTTGTTTGCGGCTTGCCCAGCAAATCGTAGCTCTTCCCAACTGGAACATGTATCCCGAATTTGACTTGCGGTCCGAGGGATCACCACTCCAGTCAGCATCACAGTAACCAATGAGAGTTAATGGTTCACCGTTCGCAGCTGACAGTTTCAGCTTGCAGTCGGCAGTCTTCAGCAGATATCGTAACAACGCGTTTTAGTTCGACCCAGTCGATCTCCGTTGGGTAGCTAACTTGCCTGCTCAGGATCGAAACACTTGCGGCGATGTCCAGCCTTGTATTCACTGCAACATATAACAGCGCACCTACCAGGCTGTGGTAGTGCTGGTTCGTGTCCAGCTTCGGGCTGCCTACCCGACTGCGGTAATACCCAGGATCGAGCGGAATACTCGAGCCTTTCGCGTTCTGCAGACCGAAACGCTGCGCAAGCACCTGGATGAAAACCTTCTGGTCCAAACAGAAGTACCCTTCACGGTCTCTTGACACTCGAACTCCAAGGAACTGGTTTACCTCTCCCAGCGAAGTCAAAGAAATCTTCTTCTGCAATTCAGCTTCGATTCGCTTGATCTCCTTCTGAGTTGTGCTCGCGACTACCATGTCGTCAACATAGATAACGAGGTACACGACTTCGCCGTCCGGCAACACCTTCACGTACAGGCACGGATCTGATCCCGATTGCAAGAAACCAAGCTCTTTCAGCATCGAACTGATCGTAAAGTTCCACACACGTGCCGCCTGCTTTAGACCGTACAGGCTGCGCTCGAGCCTGCAGACCAGTTTCTCTTTCTTTGGAACTACAAATCCCTTAGGCTGCTGCATGTACACTTCCTCTTTCAGCTTGCCGTGTAGATAAGCAGACTTGACGTCCAGGTGATGAACTGACTGATCGTTAGGAGAATCCGCAAAGTCGTCTGAGTTGCCACCGGAGCGAAAACGGCATCATAATCTACTCCGAACTTCTGCGAAAACCCTCTTGCTACAAGTCGCGCTTTGAACCGAGACACGTTGCTCACGCTGTCGTGCTTCTTCTTATATACCCACTTGCAGCTTATAGGAGCACGACCAGCAGGTAGCTCAACGAGTATCCACGTTCGATTCTCCATCAGCGACTGGTATTCTTCCGTTATCGCGGCCTTCCACAACTCTTGCTCCGGACCAGATATGGCTTCTTCGTACGACACTGGCTCCTCCTGGACCAACATGACTGCGTTGACTTCATAGTCAGCGAACCGCCTTGGCAGCACGCCTCGGGTGCTCCTCTTTAGACCTTCTTGCACTGGCGCATCCGTTTGATCGGGCTGTTCTTGCTCGGCATCCGTGTTATCTTCCGATTCGTCCTCGCTTTGAGACTGTCCAGGACTTGACACATCTTCTTGCTACTGACTTCCGTTGCTCGTGATCTCGACTTCAACAAGTTCTTCCGTTGGAGGCGTCGGTGGCTCCAACAATCAATACGAAACTAACGATTTTAAATTGGCTCACTAGCCTATTGGTCCTAAGCAAACGATTAACGTATCCCATTCTAGTCGAAATTCTAGTACTACGCAATGTTTGTTTTGATTCGCTATGAAAGTTTGACAGATAAAATGAGGGGTTATTGGTTTTTCCTGTGTTTCGAGGGGTGAATCGATTAGCTTGGGACCGAAGAGAGTACCAGAGCTGAGCCAAAAACTTGTGCACGTTATTTCGGGACCTTCTGGTCTTAGAGTTACCTCTATGGTGGCTCCTCCTGAATCTCTACAAACCGAGCATCACGACTAATGGTGATTGCAGCTGTCTCGGTGTTCAAGAACCTGTAAGCCTTCCTATCACTGCAGTAACCCACGAAAATCAGCTTCTGGGCTTTACTGTCTAGCTTGGAACGTTTAACGTCCGGGATGTGGACGAACGCAGGACAACCAAACACTTTCAAATGAGCTAGTGTAGGTTTCTTGCCGAACCACCTTTCGAAAGGAGTTCTATCAACAGCACGAGATGGCAATCTATTTTGCAAATACGCAGCGGTGGCTACCGCCTCCCCCCAGTACTTTTTATCTAATCCTGCGTCCGAACCGACGGTGCCAGGTATGCTGGCAGTTCTGCAGGTGTCGAGCCTCCTTGCCCAACCGAGCTTCTACTGCAAATTTCAAGGCGAACAAATTTCCACGGGGTTCCGCTACTGCTAATACTTTGCCTTGTGCCGATATGATTTCACATCGATCACCACTAAATTCCACTTTTAGTCCTTTCTTCACTAGCTTCCGTACCGAAAGAAGTCCACTTTCCAGCGACGGCATGTAGAGCACGTCTTTGAACGGAATGTCCATGAGAGTTCCATCTCCACTCACACACTTCACCGTGCCACTACCGAGTCCACCCGACATTGTCTCTGATCCATCGGCCAGGACCGATTGTCATTTGTCATGTGGCTGGAACAACCACTATCGACAATCCAGGGACGTCGATCGGATTGATATCAATGTTGTTCATTTGTCAACTTGTCACTCCCAACACAGTTTACCCATTTTTGGGTAGGTTCAGTTTTGACGGATCTGGGTGGATTCTACCCAAATTTGGGTAGTTTTGAAATAGCATGTAGAAGCGAAGACAACAAATCAAGAAGACTGGCAACTTTGCCAGGATCCAAGCGACAGATACAATGGTGCTGCGCTTGAGTGAAGGTGGAAACAACGCATTGAAAAATGAGCAAATACACAAACCATTCATCTGAGGATGTAATATTTGCTATCAAATTCGTTCGAAGCATTTACCTTTGAGCGGCAGATGACGCGACTGTACCTGTCTCATAGCGTTCGTATGAGAAAATGAAAGAGTTGATTTGTTGTCTTCGCTAGAAGCCTAGAATTCATCTGCATTGTAAGTAGCTTTGAATAAGGTCCTTTTACATTCCCCTCTCTAATCCTTTGAGTTTTTCTGGAATTGCCTTAGAAGTTTTCTAAATTTTCGAAGAAATGCATTGCACTTGATTCGTCTAAACTAGATGACTATTTTCCAATCTTATTCTAAATATCTTGTACGGAAGTCATAGTCGGAGGCAAGTGTTTAATGGGGCTTGGTTTTTAACCAACTGTCATCATATGCGTCATTTGGAAATTGCTCAATAAATCAACCAACGCCACATTTAATGTTACTTAAAAGTTTTATTATTTACATAAATATTACACAAAAACAAGAGAGAAAATGGCTACACTATTACACTTCTTCTAACTGATGTTAGGTATAATACCTTCCTTCTCAACGACAAGCCCGTGAAGAAAATTTCCTTTTCCGCGTAGAAGCATTTGTACTTTCGCCACCAAACCCAGCCGTCGTCCGCCATTATGATGTCATTGAAAAAGTTTACACAAAACGTGGACGCAAACTGCATCGAAACCGGTATGTTTAGTCTTTCATTACGAGAAAAAAAAAACAACAAAACATTATGTTCAATGTTTTTTTTTCTTCGCCATCATAAGAGTTTGCCACTCTTATTCAGTGTCATTCGCGATTAAATTTTATCATCGCCGCATCAAAGAAGGCTGCGAAACGAACGACAACGACTGTCACACTGCGCGGTTACCATTGGTGACCGACGACGGCACACATCGACTGGAAGACAGGTTTGCAGGGGGCTTTGCGCAATCGTGAAAACTGGTTTTCATCGGCGAAAAGGAAAACGCTGGCCGCTGTCTCCAGACCGCCTCGCGTGTGATGTGTGAGTGTGAAAAATTTACAGTTTCTACACTTTTCCCAAACGAAACTCGAAGTTGGAAGCGTTTTTGTGCAATAGCAGGTTATCTGGTACTAAATGCTCGTTGTTCTAAAATTTCGTTTGTTTTTCGCTAAAAAAAATTATAACAAAAATAAGGGAGAACTTAGAAACTAATTTCAACGGGGGGAAAGGAAGGAAGTCATTCCAGCTTGAAATTTCCATAAAATACAATTTCTAAAACATTATCAAACAAAAACTCAATAAATGGAGAGAGAAAAATGTGAATGAAGGATGCGGGAAAACGTCCAAACATAACCTTGCTTGTCACTATCGGTTTGTGGTTTGCACAGGTGCCATGGTGATAATAAAATGTGTATAATACAATGAGAAACGATAAGAGGACAAAGATCAGATAAGCGAAAATCTCGCGAAAGAAGGAAAGAGACGATCGAAAATCATAAAATAGAAGGGTAAAAGGTACAACAGTGAGTAAACGTAGATTGGCTTATTAAAAAAAATAAAAATAATATGAATTATCTAGCTTATAATCTCTGAAATGGTTTCTATCCCGTTTGTTTTCCTCTCGCGGCTGACGTAGTTCGGATAATTCTTTCACTCGCGCTCACTCTCATGATTTTCTAGCATGGCCTACTCGGCTGACGGCAGTGGGCTCTGAGAAAATGCTGGGGATTCAGACGAATTTATTTCTTGAAGCCGCCGTTCTCATTTAATTCGTTGAGGAATTGCTGTAATTGAGGGGGAAAAGTTTGAATTGAGGGGACCGACAAAAACTACAATGTTCTTACATATTGATGAGGTGAGTGAGATTCGTGACCGTAGTCGGCCCACTTGGTTAGATCCATCGTAGGAAGGATTCCGCTCTTGCATGGCACTCTTGGATTGCTGTTTGAAGGAGTGAATATTTAATGTTGACAGTTGCCATAACTCGAAGCGAACTTACATTTCGTGATCGGGCAACACCATCGGGTAGATTTGCACCGTATCGATCAGATCGGTGTTGTCGCAGATGAGCCGCGCCAGCTTGGCCTTGCGGACTTCCTGCAGCTGTTCTGGGGTGAATGATGACGGCTGATTGGGCAGCTCGTACCAGAACCGATCGCCACGTCGGACGTAACTGAACTGGGTGGCGATGACACAGGCGAAGGTCGGTCCCAACATAGATCCCGGCAGCGAGCGCTCGGACACACCGCCCGACCACAGGTCCACGTCCGATGGGTGTCTGTTGAATAAGCGATTAGTTTGTGTCCGAAAACTATGCGGTTCAAAAACTTACTCGAAGATGCTCTCGTACCGCCGAACGGTCTCATTCGGCATTGATCCGAACAGCTCCTGGAAGGTGTCGGCCGTCGGCAGTCCGCAGAACTTTCTGAACTCCATGTATCCAGGGACGCCAAACTCACGACCTCGCTGCATGTTGAACGACACCAGATCCATACCGAAGCGGGCGCCTTCCTTCTTGAACAGATGGTTGGTGACTTCCTGGGTGATCGAGTCGTCCATAGCCTGGGCAACCTGGTTCATCAGACCCATCAGGTATTCGTCGTACACACCAGCACGGTACAGATCGTACGGCCGACGGATCAGATCCGATAGACGCTTGGAGGCGATGAACTTGTGAGCCTTGGACCAGCGTTCAATGGCCGTCGGCAGCAGCGAGTGACCAAAACGGAAGGCAGCGGCGGAGAAAGCGTCAATAATGGCAGGGTTGATGTTCTCATCATATCCATCCCAGTGGCCTTCCTTCAGTGGAAGCAAGCCGAACTTCTCCATCACTTCTTTGCCGAGCAGAATCGGTAAGAATTCATTGTAGGTGATGTGCTGGATGATAGCGATGTTGATACGGCGAGTTTCCTGGAACAGAGTTTCGTCATCCCAGTGTGGGTTGATGCGGCCAAGCTCCGTCGCGATACGGTTGTGCTCACGAGCCAGCAGGGTGTGCATACAGGTTAGGACTAGCTGTTCGTTGACACGGATCTCACCGGCTTCGAAGCAGAACATGCTCTTGTTTGGTCGGGTGCAACCTTCATCCGGAATGTCCAGCTTCAGTGGCAGGAGGTCCTTCAGACCGTATTCCGCGAAGACGGGGTTCATGCGGAGCAGACCGTTGTAGCCGGTACGCAGCTTACGGGTGAACTTCTCGTTGACTCCGTAGATGGTGTTGCCGTCGATAACCGAGGTGAGGGTGTTGAACTGTTGACGCGATCCCAAGCGACATCCAGCGCGGGGCGATGGGAAACCACGAACGAAGTCGATACACTTAACGTTGAACAGCCGGTAGAAGTAATCGTCATCGGGGATGCGGATTTCGTTACAGTACGGATGCTTGAGATGAGGTGGACGCTTGCAGCATTCTTCCGGATCGTTGCGGTTGATCGGGTCCAGTGGAGTTCCGGTCAGGGTAAAATCGTGATCCATGAACTGTCCCCACGCGATGACGAATACGGTACCGGCATGGTCATGGTAGCCCTCATCGGGATGAATGGTACGGGACACGACACGGGACAGTGGAAGGTCACGGCCGGTTACGGATATTCTGGGAGCGTTGATACCGTCGGCGTACAGTGGACCGATCAGACGCTGGAACGGAGTCATGGCAGCTCCCCACGTGGGATGCTTCAGATTGTTGCACAGTCCATCGACACGGCGGTACTTGCCCGGGCGACACTCGACGCCGGACAGGAACGCTGGACATACTTCGCGGATCAATGTTTTCGAAGTATCGATCGACGGGAGACCCTTTTCGATTTCTTCGTACGACAGGCCGTACCTGTAAAGGGAAATAGAAGCTCAATTATCACCGGGGACGCGAGTTGTGAGGAGTTGACGGAACTTACGTCCTGGCGAGCTGAATGGAGATGTCCAGCAGCAGTTCGCCGACGGTGGCGATATCTTCCGTTTTCCAGTCACCCTTCGGTTGAGACACGCGGATGCGCTTGCGAGCATCCAAGTAGGCCTGGTTGATGGCATCGAACGTGATGCATGACGTCGGTTCGGTGTGCACCGGAGCTCTACGATTGGAGAAGGACAATTGTTTATATGTTGTAAGGTTGGCCAATGAGTTTAATGGGTACTTACGACGTTCCACGGAACAGATTTAGGTTGTAGTCGAAGGCGGACGACTTGGCAGGACCGCTGACATAGAGGGCGCACTCAGGAGCATGCTGATCGAAGGCCAGGTATTGTGAATGGACTGCAACGAACGTCGATATTATTGCCAGTAACCTGTGTAGGCGTAGAGGAAGACAAACGAAAGAGAAGAAGTCAATAAAAGTCCATAATAAGCTACGGCGAATTACGACCTAGACTTTGCACAGCTGAGAGCGTTTTTTTTAGGGAAGGTGGGAGCTCCGCTAATAGAGTTGGTTTGCGTAAATTGGCATTATACATTCGACACAGAGACTGTTAGTGCAGCTCTTCTCGTCAACGGCGATGTTGAACGGTGACAGAGCACTTTTTAATTTTATGAATGGTACTTGTGGCGGGCCAAGAACGGCGCCGCTCACTTGCTGGTGCTGCAACAAACAAGTTGCCCTCAAAATGACATTGTAGAGGTCCTTCAAGAAAGAAAAAAGCTCATTTGAAACAAGAGTGAACGCAATCCATCCACGGACGACATTCACCGATCTGCACCGTGCTGCACTAAGAAATGCAAGCGTTTGCTGCAGCGCAGGAGTGTTGCAATGTGTCATAAATCATGGCTCATTGCATTCGCCAGCTATCAAGGAACGGACCGAACTTCAGTTGCAGTTGCTGCTGCTGCAAACATTCTTTCTGTATCTTCTGAGCTTCGAGCAAATCGCTCTCGCGTGCTCGCACATGGCTCTGACTCACCCCTCGAGAACGAATGACAGTTCACTAGCATCCAAGTGGGCTTGTCGACCGTTCTAAAGTCGATGTCTACTAGGCCTACTCGAAAAGCGTGCACAATTCGCACACGTGCCTGCGTGTCAACTTTGACGTCGATGACAAGATACGGGCTCTGCGGGCATGTCTGCTATGTGGTCAAAGAATTCGATTAGTCATTTTCAAACCTTTTCCCATTACAAAATTTCCATGTGTATGATGACACTTGCGGATAAAAGTGACAACCAGACTGACCGGAGAAGCTTGAAGTGATGAACTTTTATTTTTGCTCCTTTCGCCCAACAAAAATACAGCTGCTGTCGGCCATCCAAGTAGTCGACTCCAGCTGCGCCGGTCCTCGTCGCCGGGCGACGGTGACAACTATTTATTTGCACGCGATCTGAAATGGCAACTCTGCGCGAACGAGCCAGACAAGTTTTGAACTGGCGCAACCGCTTTTCTTCCAATTACTTAATGGAAGTTTATGATCTTCCGAGCCTTACTATGTAGTGGCATCGTTTCGCAAAGCAAACACACCAATCGGGAAGTTGTTCTCCGTCCCGTCCCGACGGCCTCAAGTGGTGTCTGTCTATATGTAACGCAGTATTCCTACTCTCAATCACGCGGGGATCCGATCTTGCCTCGGCGTAACCGCATGCGTGCGTGCGGTCTTCAAATCACTTTCGCTTTCGTTCAAATCGAAGTTGAGCACGCTGCTGGGCAACCATCAGAGCCTACTTGATTGTGTGTTTTCAAAAGCAACATAAACAGCAACAACAACAACAACAACAACAACTGCAGAAGAGGTTAGATTTCAGTTCGGTTTTAAGCGATTTCAGACGGGAGCAGGAAGGCGGCCGGCAGGCCACCACCCCGGGGGAAGATAGAAAGATATTGCGCGATCGGAATTTATTGAATAACGCTGCAGCTAACTTGCAGATGCCTAGGTAGGTACTCCTTTTATGACGCAGAAGCGTAGTTGTTTTCCTTTTTGCATTTTTCATGTACCAGTACAAGCATCTCGATCACGTTGCGTGAGTTGATTTTATGCTTTTAAGATATGTGAAACCGCCAGTAGACAAAGTAGCATGACTGTGCGATGTGCATGCTCGCGTGCTCACGCGCTTCCGAGAAGAAGACATTCTTTTCAGCTTGTTACACCGGATAAGTGGTTGAGTTGCGTTTGATTTGCGAAAGTGTTCAGTTGTTACCGTCTCCTACCCTGGACCTGTGATTTAGCTGCAAGGCTTACAATGTTTGGCGATCGAATTTTGAAAGCATCAATGCAATCAAAGTAAGCAGGTTCCCATGGTTTTAATTGTGAGTTTTTTTTTATAGCTCGTAGAACCATCGAAAAATAATAAAAGCTATGAAGCATTTTAAGATTTCACTCCCTTAACTCGCCATGCAAAGTTTTGAAATCGAAACGGATGGTCACTCTATACACTTATTTTGCGCCAACTTTTTTCTTAGTGTGCCTCGCGTGTGTCGCAGCTGTGCCAAGGGTGCTGTCATTGAATTGACTTTGTTTGCATTTGAATAATGGCATGTTTGGCAACCCGGTTAATTTGACAGTTTAAATGTTTGATTCTTCAACTTTAGCATAATCAACGTGCACAGCCCTCACTCCGGAAGCACTGATGATGACAAGGACGCATTTTACGCGCAGCTCGACCGCGAGTACGATCGCTGCCCAAGCCACGACGTCAAGATCATCATAGGAGACCTAAACGCTCAGGTAGACCAGGAGGAGGAATTCAGACCGACGATTGGAAAGTTCAGCGCCCACCAGCTGACGAACGGGATCGGCCTACGACTCATCGATTTCGCCGCCTCCAAGAACATGGCCATACGTAGCACCTTCTTCCAACACCACCTCCCCTATCGTTACACCTGGAGATCACCACAGCAGATGGAATCGTAAATCGATCACGTTCTGATTGATGGACGGCACTTCTCCGACATTATCGACGTCAGGACCTATCGTGGCGCAAACATCGACTCTGACCACTACCTGGTGATGGTCAAACTGCGCCCAAAACTTTCCGTCATCAACAATGTACGGTACCGACGCCCGCCACGGTACAACCTAGAGCGACTGAAGCAACCGGATGTCGCCTTAGCATACGCGCAGAATCTCGAGGCAACGTTGCCAGAGGAGGGCGAGCTCGATGTGCCCCCTCTAGAGGACTGCTGGAGTACAGCCATCACCGACGCAGCCGAGAGCACCATCGAGTACGTGGAAAGAAGTCGACGGAATGAATGGTTCGACGAGGAGTGCAGAGTGATTTTGGAGGAGAAGAACGTAGCGCGGGCGGTAATGCTGCAGCATGGAATCCGACAGAACGTGGAACGGTATAAACAGAAGCGGAAGCAGCAGACCCGCATCTTTCGGGAGAAAATCGCCGCCTGGAAGAAGCGGAGTGCGAGGAAATGGAACTGCTGTGCCGTTCCCAAAAAACACGGAAGTTCTACCAGAAGCTCAACGCATCCCGCAACGGCTTCGTGCCACGAGCCAAAATGTGCAAGGATAAGGACGGGAGCCTCTTGACGGACGGACGTGAGGTGATTGAAAGGTGGAAGCAGCACTTCGATGCGCACCTGAATGACGAGGAGAACGTAGGCACGGGAGACCAGCGCAATGGAGGAAACGACTGCGTCAGTGCAGCAGAGGACGGAACTGACCCAAATCCCACGCTGAGGGAAGTTAAGGATGCCATGCAGCTGCAGCTCAAAAACAACAAAGCAGCTGGTAAGGATGGTATCGCAGCCGAACTCATCAAGATGGGCTCAGAAAAGTTGGCCACCTCTGGGAAACAGAACAGCTACCGGAGGAGTGGAAGGAGGGGGTAATCTGCCCCATTCACAAGAAAGGCAACCATTTGGAATGTGCGAACTTCAGAGCGATCACCATTTTGAATGCCGCCTACAAAGTGCTATCCCAGATCATCTTCCGTCGTCTATCATTTAAAATGGCCGAGTTCGTGGGAAGTTATCAAGCCGGCTTCATCGACGGCCGATCGACAAATCCTCCAGAAATGCCGTGAATACCAGGTCCCAACGCATCATTTGTTCATTGACTTTAAGGCGACATACGACAGTATCGACCGCACAGAACCATGGAAAATCATGGACGAGAACGGCTTTCCTGGGAAGCTGATCAGACTGATCAAAGCAACGATGGACGGTGTGCAAAACTGCGTAAGGGTTTCGGGTGAACTATCCAGTTCATTCGAATCTCGCCGGGGACTGCGACAAGGTGACGGACTCTCATGCCTACTCTTGAACATCGCTCTAGAAGGTGTAATGCGACGAGCCGGGTTCAACAGCCGGGGTACGATTTTCACGAAATCCGGTCAATTTGTGTGCTTTGCGGACGACATGGACATTATCGCAAGAACATTTGAAACGGTGGCAGAACTATACACCCGCCTGAAACACGAAGCAGCAAAGGTCGGACTGGTGGTGAGTGCGTCAAAAACAAAGTACATGCTAGTAGGCGGAACCGAACATGACAGGATTTGTCTAGGAAGTAATGTCACGATAGACGGGGATACTTTCGAGGTAGTGGAGGAATTCGTTTGCTTTGGATCCTTACTGACGACTGACAACAATGTGAGTCGTGAAATACGAAGGCGCATCATCAGTGGAAGTCGTGCCTACTACGGGCTCCAGAAGAAACTACGGTCAAAAAAGATTCACCCCCGCACCAAATGTACCATGTACAGAACGCTAATAAGACCGGTGGTCCTCTATGGACACGAGACATGGACTATGCTCGAGGAGGACGTGCAAGCTGCTAAGGACGATCTTCGGCGGTGTGCAGGAGAACGGTGAGTGGCGGCGAAGAATGAACCACAAGCTCGCTGCACTCTACGGCGAACACAGCATCCAGAAGGTGGCCAAAGCCGGAAGGATGCGGTGGGCAGGGCATGTTGCAAGAATGCCGGACAACAACCCTGCAAAGTTGGTGTTCGCTACTGATCCGGTTGGCACAAGAAGGCGTGGAGCGCAGAGAGCACGATGGGCGGACCAGGTATAGCGTGATCTAGCGAGCATTGGGCATGACCGAGGATGGAGAGCGGCAGCCGAAAACCGAGTATTGTGGCGTACTATTGTTGATTATGTCTTATCTTAAATGTTATGTTGTACAAATAAATGTATGTATGTTTTGTTTTGAAGGAACAGTAGTGGAGTTCGAACCAAGAAGACGATCGAGAGGCACCTCAGTTGGACAAGCTAATATCGGACTGGCTCGACTAGAGGATCCCACCGAGAAGGTGAAGGAGTTCCTCCAACCGCTGCAGCTGCTTAGCAAAGACAACATTGAAATACATTTCAACAGTGAGCATGCATAAGGGTCTATACGCGATGATCGA